GCACGCAAGCGACTAGCAATGCGAGCCATGGTGTGCGCCTAGTGCTACCGATGCACGCACACACGCTAGCTCGCATGCTGCGATGGTGCTGTGCTGTGCGAAGGCATGCACACACGCAAGCGCCTAGCAATGCGAGGCATGCTATGCGCCTAGTGTTAGCGATGCACGCACACACGCAAACACGCATGGTGCTGCGATGGTGCTGTGCTAGCATTGCACACACGCACGCACACCCATGGTGCTACGATGGTGATGTGCTAGCTCGAGCTAGCCTAGCAACCACATGGCTAGGCCAATGGGTGCAAGAACGCAACTTATCCTTATGCCCCAACCTTTCCGCTAACCTTGTGACCATCCCGCCACAATGGATTTTCCCCTTCTTTGTTCCTGAAAGAATTCCTTCAATGCACTTGGTGAAAAGAAGACCCAAATTCACTCTATGTCCCTAATCCGCCTTTGTAGGAAGCCACAAGATCTGTATTTCTTTTGCGGTAATCTTTACCTAGTCTTCTTTACTGAAAACCATGTACCTAAGGATCCTATGAAGAAGTTTGATAGCTGGGTGCATGATTTGACTAGCCAATGAATATTTGGCATTGAAGGAATCCATTCTCGAGATGCATTTCCACCACTCGAGGGGGTTATAATCACGAAGAACTTTGTGCTTAGTAAAGAACATGTCAGCGTCAGGGTTGAGGTCTAGGAGTTGGTTGAATTGGCGAAGGTTTACTGTTTCCTTTTTATTGAAGAGCTGTAAAGAGATGGTGAGGTCCTTTTCTCTTGTAGCGTGGCATTCGAAAGAGGCTAGGAACTCAAGAGTTGGTTCTTTGTATGTTCAGTATGTGTTTGCCACAAAAAAGCCCAACCATAGATTGTTGAATAAGAACCAACAATCGTCATCGATGCCAAGGTTGGTTGTTGAAGGTTGGTGGTAGTATTTGGTTGGACTTTCTGATTTTGCAAGCTGTCATAGATGGTTTTGTGGTTTTTGTTTTGAAATTTCAGAGGTGGCGAAGGTGGTGGATGTTGTTCATCGGGTTGGGGGTTTTGGGAGGTAAAACCTTGGGGTTCCTTCTCACTCTTTCTCTTTTTTGAACAGAACACCATTTCAATAAGCACCCAAATTCAATGAAATCACAACTCAAATCACAAGAACAATCCCACTAGTTCAACAAGCCTTCAAAATTTCCACACTTTAAAATTCACCCAATAACACCAATCAATCAATACTACCCGCCAACAATCAACAAGATCAACAAATAATCAACAATTAACCAAGCTTACGAAGATATTTCAACACAAATTAGCATGCATACATTAAAAATCCCCAAACGAATTCACATAAACAACAATTTTTCTCACCAAAAAAAAAAAGTTGCTCAAATTTCAGTTAAAACTAGAGAAGGAGTGAAATATACCAACAATGAGTGACTAAAATCCACTCTAACTAGACTTGAGAAGAAGAAATCCAAGCAACCTTCAAGAATTATGCAATGGAGAAACCGTGAGATACCGAATCTTGAACGGTGAATTTTCGGATTTTGATGAGAAAACTCGAGAGAAAGTGAAGGAATTTGATGATTTTTGATGATTTCATAATGAATTTTGATGAGTTTGTGAGGTTGGGAGGTTAGGGTTGAGGGAGGATGAAGTTTTAGAGAGAGAAGGAGGATGTTGAAATTAGGGGAAATAAGGTGGGCGAAGCTGATGAAAAGAAAACTGATATTTCGCAGACCCCGTTCGCTGCGCCCGCGGGCCATCCTATCCACGAATACGAGTCAAATCGCCGCGCCCGCGGGTCTCGTTGTCGCGCCCTCTCCTTAGGCGCGGCGAGGCATCTCTAGAAAGTCATGTAGGGGGCTTGATAGTCTGTCCGTGCCCTCTCCTTGTGAAGTTGCACCCCCAGGCTTGAGAGCCGCGGCTGCGGGTCTTTTAGCTGCGCTCACGGGTCCATGGAGCTCTCCTTATGCGTGCATGCACTTTAAGCTCTTGAGACCTAAATTTCGACCCTTTCTTCTTTCATAACTCCATCTTGGCTCTTGAAAACGATTCCCTTGAGGTGAGAACACCCTCAAATCTTAGTCCACAAAAGCAATGCCCAAAGGTTCAAGTACCTACAAAAAAAAAATTAGAAAAAAAAACAAAAAAATAAAAAAAAAACAAAGACCATAAGATAAGAACCATTAAAGAGATCAGCCAAAATCGACCGAATATAGGAAATAAAGAAACAAAAGAGTTGAGAACTCGGTTGCCTCCTGAGAAGTGCTTCTTTACAAGGTCACTAGCTTGACCATGAGAAATTATCATCTAGAGGGTGGCATAAGATCCATCGGATCAAGCCTCATGCATTTAATCAAACTAACTTCATCCTTGCAAAAGTAGTGCTTCAAACGATGACCATTAACCATAAATTTGTTGTCACCCACCTCCAACTCAAAAGACCCATAAAGAGTAGTCCTTGAAATCAGAAAAGGCCCCGACCATTTTGATTTGAGCTTTCCGGGAAACAAACGAAGCCTAGAGTTGAATAACAACACCTTGTCTTCAACCTTAAAGCTCTTGTTCCTTATATGTTGGTCGTGCCATTTCTTGGTTTTACCTTGTATAGCCTTGAGTTCTCGTACGCATCATATCTAAGCTCCTCAAGTTCATTACGCTTGAGCAATCTCTTCTCACCGGCCAATGACATATCCATGTTAATTTCCTTGATGGCCCACCAAGCGTTATACTCCAACTTAACCGAAAAATGACAAGCCTTCCCATAGACCAACCGATAGGGGGTTGTACCAATTAGAGTCTTGTACGCCGTCCGTAAGGCCCAAAGTGTGTCGTCAAGCTTGAGGGACCAATCCTTCCTAGACTTGTTAACCATCCTTTCTAGAAGGTTCTTGATCTCTCTATTTGACACCTCCACTTGCCCTTGAGTTTGAGGATGGTAAGGTAGACCAACTTTGTGATGAACTCCATACCTCTTGAGGAGAGATTCGAGTTGCTTCTTGGCAAAGTGGGAACCTCCATCACTAATTAGCACTCTAGGAACCCCAAACCGTGGAAAGATGATTTTCTTGAGAAGCTTAAGCACAACTTTATGATCATTGGTAGGGGAAGGTATGGCTTCAATCCATTTAGTCACATAGTCAACTGCTTCCAAGATGTATAAATTCCAACATGAGGAGATAAAAGGCCACATAAAGTCGACACCCCAAACATCAAAAGGCTCAACTTCAAATGGTTTTGTTGAGGCATTTCATCTCTTTTGGTTATGCCACCACTTCTTAGGCACTTATCGCATCTTGAAACAAACTTGTGAGCATCCTTATGCATCATTGACCACCATAGGAGAGATTGGGAGATCTTTGCTACCTTCTTATCAACTCCCCTATGTCCTCCACATGGCAACGAGTGGAAATGCTCAAGAACTCCTTCAATTTCATGGTTTGGAACACATTTCCGGAAAAGGCCATCTCCACACTATTTAAACAAGTAGGGTTCATTCAAAAAGTACCTCATCACTTCCTTAAAAAACCTCGACTTTTGTTGAGAAGAGAACTCCGGGGGAAAGACTCCGCAAGCACGATAATTGGCTATATCCTCCTTGATTTGTACATCCTCCTTGTTCTCAAAAGGAATCCTAGAGAAATGATCTGCCACATAGTTCTCCGCTCCCTTTTTATCTCTCACCTCCATGTCAAAATCTTGAAGCGAAAGAACCCAACGGATGAGGCGTGGCTTTGCTTCCTTCTTGGTCTTAAGATAGCGAACTGCTATGTGATCCGTGTACACAATCACTTTGGAGCAAATAAGATAGGACCTAAACTTGTCCATGGCAAACAAAACTGCAATCATATCCTTCTCTGTCGTTACGTAATTCTTTTGAGCTTCATCAAGAGTTCTACTTGCATAGTTGATGACATGAGAACTTCCTTCTTTCTTTTGCCCAAGCACGACACCTACTCTAAAAGGACTCGCATCGCACATTAGTTCAAAAGGCAAGCTCCAATCCAGAGCTTGCACAACGGGAGAGGAAACGAGAGCTTCCTTGAGCTTTTGAAATGCCTCAAGACAAGCCTCATTAAAGCTAAACACAACATCTTTCTTGAGTAATTCGGTCAAAGGCTTGGCGATTGATGAATTTTTTTTGATAAATCTTCGGTAAAAACCAGCATGCCCTAGAAAAGCTCTCACTCCCGTAATGGAAGTAGGGGGGCAACTTTTCAATCCCGAAACTTTGGCCAAATCAACCTCAATGCCCTTCTTTAACACTTTATAGCCTAGGACAATACCCTCCTCAATCATAAAATGACATTTCTCCCAATTTAAAACCAAACACATCTATTGACACCTTTTCAAAACTTTTTCAAGATTATAAAGACAAGTGTCAAAAGAAGAGCCACCAACACTAAAATCATCCATGAAAACTTCAATCTCATTTTCAAGCATCTCAGAAAAAATGGAACTCATGCATCGTTGGAATGTTGAAGGAGCATTGCATAATCCAAATGGCATTCTTCGGTATGCAAATGTTTCATATGGACATGTGAAAGTAGTTTTCTCTTGGTCATTTGGGAGGATAAGGATTTGGAAAAACCCGGAGTACCGATCTAAAAACAAAAGAAAGCATGGTGAGAAAGTCTCTCCAACATTTGGTCCATGAAGAGGAGAGAAAAATGGTATTTCCTTGTATTTTTGTTCAACCTCCTATAATCAATACACGTTCTCCACCCGGTCACCATCCGGGTGGATATTTCCTCTCCTCCTTCTCCCTTCACGATGGTCGTTCCACCTTTCTTTGGTACCACATGAACCGGGCTAACCCACTTGCTATCAAAGATAGCATAAATTTTGCCCGCTTCACGCAATATCAAGATTTCCTTCTTAACAACCTCTTGGAGGTTGGGGTTCAACCTCCTTTGAGGTTCAATTAAGGTGGATTATTCATCCTCAAGATGAATACGATGCATGCACAAAGAGGGGCTAATACCCTTTATATCGTCAATGCTTTACCTTATCACATTTCTATATTTTCTCAAAAAGACAAGCAATTTTCCCAAATCAAGACCATCAAGGGTAGCATTGATAATAATAGGGTATTCCCCTTCATTTCCAAGACAAGCATATTTCAAATTGGGGGGAAGGGGTTTGAGTTCTACCTTGGGAGGAGGCTTGGAACTCTCCTCCATTTTCTCCTCCTTTAGTTCAAGCTCTTCTTTATCTTCTTGTTGTTCATGGTCTTCTTCCATTTGAGTTTCTTCCATGGCCATGACAAACTCTTTTGCTTCTTGAGATTGATACTCTTCCTTGTATGTAAGAGCTTCAACCATTGGATCTTGAGGCTTCATCATAACACTTCCCAAGCGATCTAACTCCTCATTCAGCACATCAACCCTATAGCATTTTTCAACCATGGGGGTCTTGAGTAACTTAGAGAACTCAAAAACAATCTTTTCATCGGCAACCTCACATGTAATGGTGTTGTTCTTGCAATTGATCACCACCCCCAAACTCTTAAGAGCTTCACGACCAAAAATCAAAGGAGTATCAACATCTTTCTTCCATATCCATCAGTACAAAATCACAAGGCACATAAATATGCCCAACATGAATAGGAACATCTTCAAGCTCACCACAAAGTAACTTCACCAAACGCTCGGCCAATTGGATAGTCTTCCTTGTAAGGGTCATTTCAATGTTAAGCTTTTAAGGAATGGATAGGGCAATCAAACTAACACTTGCTCCAAGATCGGCTAAGGCACCCCTAGCTTCCATGTTCCCAATCTTTACCGGTAAAGTGAAACTTCTCGAATCTATTTGCTTCTTGGGCATCTTATGTTGGATAAGTGCACTCACTTGATGGAGAAGAGTGATGAGCTTCCTTTTGTTGGTGAGAATATCCTTGAGGAACTTGGAGTATGAAGGCATTTGTGTGACAATTTCGATGAAAGGGAGGTTGATGTGGAAATTCTTTATCACACTAAGGAACTTTGCAAACTTGTCATTCAACTTCTTCTCCGCAAGTCGACCGGGAAATGGAACCAGCCCATCTAGATTCCTACCCTCACTAGGAGTTGAGGTTGTATTCTCGTCTTTAAGCTTCTTCTTCTCCATACTTCTTTCTTTCTCAACATCCTTCTCTTCCTCAACTTTCTTGTCTTCACCCACACTCTATTCTCCTTCCTTCTTTTCCTCACTAACCCCCTCCTTAGGACCTTCATAGGATGTACCCGATCTCAATGTGATTGCCTTACAAGAGTCGGGTTTTATGATGTTGGAAGGGTTAGTTTCTGATTGCCCGGGTAGAGTAGAAGGTGAATTGAAAGGGACTCTCTCGGCCAATTGAGCTAATTCTGAATCAACCATCTTGTTATAAGCCTTTACCTGTCGCAGTTGTTGATTCATGGCTTAAAGTTGTTGAAGAATTTGGGTTTTTTGTAGAATCGGGTTGAGATGCTTACTCTAGGATCCTTTGAGACACTTGAATTTGATTGTTGTATTGGTTTTGATTATTGTGTTTGTTGTTTCTTGGGTAGTTTCCTCTTGGGTTTTGGTTTAAAAATGGAGGATGGTTTTGATATTGGGGGTTGGAGTTGTATGATTATTGAGCTTATTGACTCCATTGTTGAGGTTAGTGTGCAAACCCGGGTGGTAGTTGCCTCCAAACTAATCCACCGCCATTTCCTCTATATCCATCTTGCCTTGTGTTGCCGCCACATGTTCGGGGCTTAAACCTCCATAATAAAATGTATCGTGGTTTGTACCACCACAATTTTGACAAGAGGAATAATTGACTTGAGAAGAGCTTGCTCATCTATTAACACTCGTATTCAACTTTGCAAGCCCTTTCATTAAAAGCTCAATTTGATGTTGCAATTGATCAACCTTCTCCAATTCATACTTTCCACCTTTCTTTGGTGCATTCCTCCTTGTACCACTCCAAGAGTAGTTCTTCACTACCTCTTCAATTGTTGCTTCATCTTGATTTTGGGGGATCTTAATCAATTGTCCACCCACCCCCGCATCCAAGTTAGCTCTAGACATAGGTTCCAATTCATCATAGAAGAATCGCATGAGCAAGCTTTGATTGTATTCATGGTGAGGACATGCTTGTACCAACTCCTCGAACCTTTCCCAAGCTTCAGTAAGACTCTTATCCGCTTCTTGTTCAAATGATGCAATCTTCCTCTCATATTGGCGGTCTTTTCTTCGGAAATGAACCTCTTCAAGAATGCCTTGACTACCTCTTTCCATGTTGTAAGAGAATTTGGCTTAACTTGTTTGAGCCACTTCTTTGCTTTACCCGAAAGAGATTGTCGAAATAAGTGCATACGGATGTATTCTAGAGAAACTTAATTGGTTTGAATCATGACACAAAGCTCAAGGAATTTATCAAGGTGCACAATAGGATCTTCACTTGGAGAACCCGAAAATTATTCCGTTTTTACCATTCTAGTGTATTGAGGATGGATGGTGAAATTGGTTTCCGTGACGGGTAGCAAAATCCCTCCCGTGAGCTCATAATCCTCCGGATTCCCAACCTCACGAAACAAAATCATCTTCTTGTCCTACCATTTCCTCACTTTGAGAATTCAAAGACCAAGAATCATTCTCACTCTCAACAATAGCACCAAGACCTCGCCCCTCTTCTTGATAAAGCCTACGGACTTGTCTCAAAGTGCGGTCGATCTCGTAGTCAATGTAATGTGTAGGTGGTCCTTGAGATCTCCTTAGCATCCACCAAAGCTAAGAAAACATTAACAATGACTAGCAAGAGAGTAAAGGAACAAAATAAAAAGCAACAAATCCAATAACAACACAATAAGAGTGCAAAACTAGCCGTCTCCCCGGCAACGACACCAAAAATTTGATAGGCAGACAATAGGTCGTGTCTAATATCCTAAATCAAATCTACAATTTATATTCCTAACCTAACTCTATCAAGTTTACACTAGATAGTGGCAAGCTAGGGTCGAACCACAAGGAAACGAAATATTACACAATCAAGGTGGAATTAAGAATCTATTGAAAGTAACAAGGGGTATTTTGGTTTGTTTTTGTGAATATCTATGATTAAATTATCTATCGAAAAAGGATTAAAACAAGCAAAATAAGGAGTTGAACTAGAATCACTAAACTAAAGAAGAAAAATTAAGATTTTAAGGGAAATATGATAAAAAAACACTAGGGAGACGGGGTTCTAATCATGATCAACTAAGACAACTATGATAATCATCATGGATTCATGCCAAGGAGTACAAACTCTACTCAAAATAATTCATTCTCATGCAATCACTCAAAGCAAGTCGATGAAATCGATCAAACCTAAACTAGATCATTCTCATGCATCTAATCTAGAACTCAAATATTGGGGCTAACAGTGCACAACAATAGCTCCAAGCATTATAAGCACAAAATCATCAACTCAAGGCAAAACCCAATCAAATATCAATATAAACTCAATCAATCATGATTTTCACCCCCTTCCCTAGCTAGAAATCAAAGATAGAGGAAAGAAAATAGTCATACAACCTTAACAAAACCAAACATGATTCAAAACCAAAGAAAAAGCAATGAAATAAGTAAAAACAAGGAACTTTATGAAAATAAACGCTATTAAGAGCAATTAAACCAAACAAAAGATAAGGGGTAATGAGATTACTACTATTAAACTATTAAAAGATCTTGACTACAATAATGGAAACTTGAAGATTAAGCTATTTTCTCTCCCTAAAATGTTGATATTCTCTCTCTACAAAATATTCTAGATGGCAATGGAATAGTGAAAAATTGTCATGAAATTTCAATCCAAGGAATATTTATAGTCTCTTGATACAACAAGGGAACCCAGTGGAGGAGAGGCCTCTGATGCAAGCTGCCGCGCCCTCTCCGTTATGGGTACAAAGTTGGGAAAACCCAGCTCGTCGCGCCCGCGGCCTTAACTGCCGCGCACGAGGCTGCCTGATGGGCCGCGCCCTCTCCATGCCTTCTCTCAGCAATCTCTAGAAACCAGTGCTCAACTCAACCTTGACCCGCACCCGCGCCCGCGACCTGCTGTGTGTTATGCGCCCTCTCTTTTAGACATCTCCTCTTCCTGGACGAAGCCACAATAGCAACTTCACTCCATTGAGCAACTCAAATTCCACCTACAAGCGCCAAGAGTTATCAAAACAAACAAACAAAAGATAAAAAGCAAAAGAAAAGATAAAAGAAAAGGAAAAACACGAGAAAGAACAAAAGTAACTAAAACAGAGGTAGAAACGGTAAGAGAAGGCAGAAACAAGTGACAAATGAAGGGAATTCATTAGTGAAAAAAGGCGAAATAGTGGCGTAAACGCCACTCATCAAAAATCAGTTATCCTCTTCAACAATAAGTACCACCGACAATCGGATATGCAAGAGCTGTATACAAATCAACAATAATAGAATAAAATTTAATAATAACAACATTTAAATCATCAATAACTACCACCAAGAATCAATTTATGTCATCGTCTTCAACCCCCCCCCCCCCAAATGTCCAAAATTAGCTTACGTAAAAAAGCAGGCAAATTCAAGGGAAATGGATCTGAGCTTATGTAAGAACAATCTCTAGACTACGAGTTGTTTTAAGTTCTTTGAGCCCCAATTCATCAATGAAAGAGGTTGAACAATAGTTTAAACAAACAAGCACGGGAGAAAATCCAAGAGTAACCTTGAAGGAGTTGGGTATTCCCAGAGCCTATAAGTTTGAAAATGGCATTGAACCACCTATAACCCCCGCCAATGACTTTGAAATTTGACCGGCCATGATAACATTTATTGAAAGAAGACAATTTAGTGGAGCTAAACATGAGAGCCCCCTAAATCATCTTAAGGAGTTTAAGGAGTATTGTAACACAATCAAGGTCAATAGTGTGAATCAAGAGTTCATTTGCCTAAAGCTCTTCCCCTTCTCACTTATAGGGAGGGCTTTAGAATGGTTAGATAAGGAGGTGTAGCCGAATTCATTAAGAACTTGGGATGAGGTCACTAAGGAAATCTTGTCTTGGTTTTACTCCCAAAAGAAGACGGCGGAAGCTAGAGCTCTTATTCAAAGCTTCAAGCAAAAGCCAAATGAGAGTCTTTGTGATGCTTTGGAGAGGCACAAGTAGTACCAAAGAGAGTGCCCTCATCATGGGATCCCAACCTATCAAGTGATTCAAATCTTCTATGGAGGCCTAAGCCTTCTAGGCAAGTCTTGTCTCAATGTGTGCGCCACAGGCCCTATTATGAATCGAACGGAGGAAGAAGTTGTTGATGTCACTGAAGATGTAGTGAGGCACTACATGGATTGGCAAGATGGTGAGAGGGAGTAAACTAGTAAGAGTAGCTCCTTGGTCTACTCTGTTGATCATCTAAATGCCATCAACAAATTGTCTTCACAAATATCAAGCTTAGGGAAAGAGATGTCTTCAATCAAAGCTAAGTTGGAGAGTTCTACTTTCCAAGCTCCATTTCTTCCCTCCCAATTTAAGGGGAGAAGTACATTTTCTAACCCTACTCCTCCTTCTTCCTATAATAACATGCCTAGTGGGTGCTTGTTGCGTGATATTTGTGGTTCATATGATCATGATGCTTCTTATTGCCCTCATTTTTTTTCGGATGGATGTGATGATTTTAATAGTAATGAGAATGAGCATGTGATCTATGTGTCTAATAATAATGGATCAAGGTTTGATAGTCAAAGAGGCTAAGGGAATAGGAATTATCACAACCAAGGAAATTTTGATAATTATAACCAAGGTGCTGGTTATAGGAACCAAAGAAACCAAGGTTTTCGAAGTAACTATAGCAACCAAGGTTACAGTGGCTAAAACCAAAACCAAGGCTTTCTTAATAATAATCAAAATTTTTGGAATCAAAACCATGGTTATGGTAATCAAAATCAAGCTAGATGTAATTGGAACAACCAAAATAGGGGCAATTTTCAAAACAATTCACAAAGAGGCCCTCCTCCAAGTTTTGTTCTAAAGACCCAAGCTCAAGGCAATAATTCCTATGCACCATCCTTTTCTTCTAGGTCTACCTTGGAACAAGTTGTTGAGAACCAAACAAAATAGCTCACCACTTACATGAATGTGAGTGACAAGAAG